TTCTACGCTCCTTGGTAATTTCTTATTCTTTGATGTTTGATTTGGGGTCGTGATCGCTTGATTGTGTTTATGGGGGAGCAGATCTCTGCTCAAGTTCATTTAGGGTTTACCCTACGTGGATCAAAGCTGGCTCTTTGATGATATGATTTTAAGAATTTTAAAATTTTAAGATGGTGGCATGTGGTGTTAGTTGCTTGTCACTTCTAATTAATGATGGAAGAAATAAGAACAAGGTTCAGCAACTTAATTTTCGCTTACTTTTACTGAATTATGGAAATTGTTAGGGAGAGTTCTGAATGTTTACGTGGTCGTGGGTTTACAGTGTGGTCACAAGAAGCTTACATGGATCACCCAAAAAAATGATGAGAATAATATTAGTTTGTAAGAATTAAAAATTTTGCATTTGTTTCTTAGGTTTTTTTTTAATCTTTCAAGAATCGGGAATCCCATTGCAAATATACTATTATCTTATCATGCATGTCTAAGCTGATGCTTTTATGGAGCATTTTAACATACATAATAAAAAAGGTGTGTTATGAATCGAAACTTCACTCGAAGTACCTATTTTATGTTGTCTCGTGCTGGCAACTGATTTCATATTAGGGAAAAAAAACAGACTTTGTATGTTTCCAAGTCACTGAAGTTTGCTTTTTCTTTATTTGTCCTTGCAGCTTGTTTTGTATGTTTTTCTTCTGTTGAGGAATGGGGATGGTATAGACATATGCACGTACTAGACATGATATATAGCATCTATTATCAATGTTTCTTTATCTCTTGGGGACGGTATGAAGGGGCATGATCTTCTTCTTTGTTTTAATCGGAATGGGAGCATTGGGCTGTTGAATCAGGAGAATTAGATCCCATGTAAGAAGCTTTCCTCGTGTCTAGTTGTGTGTCTGTAGAACCGAGTATTAAAACATGCAGTTAGCATTGATATATTGGAACTTATGAACAGCAGATGATGAATGGCCTTTGCATTATTCTGTGGCTACAGCTATAATGTGAGTGAGAAACTACACATTACTAACTACATGTTACACTCCTAATTTGACAGGTGTGGACACTGTAAGAATCTGGCTCCTGAGGTAATAATTTAAGAAAACAAGCTACAGTGCCTATAGTTCCATTGATATACGTTGACTACACATTACTATTTTCCTTCTTTTATTTGTTTTGGATTCCTAAAAAATTTTAGTATTTTTTCCTTGTAGTATGAGAAAGCTGCATCGGTGCTGAGTAAGCATGACCCTCCAGTTGTTCTTGCTAAAGTTGATGCTAATGACGAAGTCAATAGAGAGCTTGCCACTAAGTATGAAGTGAGCGGCTTCCCCACACTAAAGATCTTTAGGGATGAGGGAAAGAATATCCAAGAGTACAAAGGTCCTAGGGATGCTGATGGCATAGTTGAATACTTGAAGAAGCAAGTTGGTCCTGCTTCTGCTGAGGTCAAATCCTCGGATGATGTTGCAGACCTCATCAATGATAAGAAAGTTATTATTGTAAGTTCTCAATTTGTGCTTTCTTCCTTTCTCAGTATTTTTTCTCTGATTTTCTCAATAGCTCGTTGCAAGCTCTCAAATCCTGTTAACT